AGTAGCTGCTATAGGGAGAGAAGAGGACTGATCACAGAGCGGTCTAGAAAGGAGAATCTACTCTACTCCTGACGGAGGAAGGCAAGGAAGGAATCCCAGATGATCTTGCAATTTCTGCCATGGAGCAATTAGGTAAATACTGACTTCACTTACTGAGAGGACTAACAAGCTTGGGGAGTAATTAGTTTAGAATTTACTTTAAATTAGATCCTTACATCGTCACAGAGTTTATTCATCCGGGAACAAAGAGACATTTCTTTCTTCTTAGCTATTTTTGTCATGCATTTTAAAACTGCCCCATGATTTAACTAGCATGCATCACCAAGAATAAATGCATATATAGAAAATAAACAGTCTTTTGTTCTCATACAAATATATAAGGTGACTGAGTCCACAGTTATGCAACACCTAGAAATCATGACTAAGAAAATAAGATATTGACATAGGACTCAAAGATTTATAGTCAGGGGTCAGGGAAACTGGTAAACATCACATTCAGAGAAGTGAGAGTAATTTATAGTTCTCCATATTTTTAAGATTTATTTATTTTAGAGAAAGAGGGAGAGAGCATGAGCGGTGGGAGGGGCAGAGGGAGAGGGAGAAGAAAAATCCTTGAGCAGGCTCCATGCTGAGCAGGAGCAGGACACGGGGCTTGATCCCAGGACCCTGAGATCATGACCTGAGCCAAAATCAAGAGTTGGTCGCTTAACCAACTGAGCCACCCAGGCACCCCTTTATTCTCCATTTTCATTTGTTTGAATATATTTCAGAGATTCAACAATAAAATATTAAGAAAAAGAATGTCCTGGGCGCCTGGGTGGCTCAGTTGGTTAAGCGACTGCCTTTGGCTCAGGTCATGATCCTGGAGTCCCGGGATCGAGTCCCGCATCGGGCTCCCTGCTCAGCAGGGAGTCTGCTTCTCCCTCTGACCCTCCCTCCTCTCATGTGCTCTCTCTCAAATAAAATAAATAAAATCTTTAAAAAAAAACTTAAAAAAAACATAAAAAAGAAAAGAAAAGAAAAAGAATGTCCTAAAGGAGAAAGAGAGAAAGGTAACAAGACATCAGCAATGACACTGGTTTTGTAAATGGTAATTTGGAAAAATATTTAAAAGTCTGCTATTTTATTGGTAGAATAATGATACAAAATTGATATATAAAACTAATACAATTTGGGTCAATCATTATAACTATAAAGCAAAAACACTCATTTGTAAAGAGTCTGACCAGAAGTCACTTTTTCCAGTGCTATTTTCAGTCATTTTCACATTTTTAGTAAAATTTTTATTTTTTTTAAAGATTTTATTTATTTGTTTGACAGAGAGACAGCGGGAAAGGGAACACAAGCAGGGGGAGTGGGAGAGGGAGAAGCAGGCTTCCCGCAGAGCAGGGAGCCCGATGAGAGGCTCTATCCCAGGAGCCTGGGATCATGACCTGAGCCGAAGGCAGACGCTTAACGACTGAGCCACCCAGGCTCCCCACGATCTGATAATTTTAAATAGTTTTTCTCTATAAAACTTAACAAATTCTCTATTATTTAGAGGTAAGGGACATTGCTGAATCATTCAAAGCCCAATTCTCCTAGGATATTAAATTATTCTCTGTGAAAAAGGTTGTAAACATTTTTTTGTGCCACGCCCCCGCCCCCGAAATTTATGAACGGTAGCTCTAGGACTATGAGCCTGAGACTCAGGAGGCCTGGTCCTTAGTCTAAGCTCAGTGGCTAGCCCGGCTGGGATTCGGGCAGTTGCTAGACCTCCTGGAGCCCCAGCTTGACCTAAGGCCCTTTCCTCTTCCCCACTTGTCAAGTCTGTTCCTGCAGGGATAGGGGCACACCAGTCCACAGAGCTGTGCCATCAAATGGGGTACCTGTTAGTGTTTATATTTTATTCAGTGGTAGTCATCTAAAGCCTATTTTTATGTTACTGAAGCATGGATATATGTATACTAATTTCTAGAATAAATTGAGCATTTACCAAGTGCCAACCGCTCTGCTTAGCACTTTGCATATTCAATCTCCCCTGCCGGATTTGGGCCAGAGAAGTTAAGTAACTTTCCCAAAATCACACAGCTCGCACGTTTCAGACTCGAACTCAACTTTTCTGCCTGCAAAGGCCATGCTCTGAAACACTAAGCTAATACTAGAGCACAACAGAGAACTTGCATAAAACATACGAACTCTAAGAAAGTCTGTAGAAAATTTTAAGAAGTCCTGACAGAATGGGGTCTTCTATAAATTCCTCTCTCATAATTTGGCTCTTCTCAACCTATAACCTCCCAAACTCTAACTCCAGCCTTGCTCCTCAACAACACAGAAGTGTGCATGTACTGACTCAGTGCAGAACTTAATTCAGCCATTAAATTGAACTCATGACAAGTTTTAATCCAGTCTCAAAATTCTCAGGATACTATCAGAGAAGACTTTGTGCCTCAGTAGAAACAAACTATTCATATGTGCTTGAAAGTGCTAAATGCAAGTGCTTTGAAGAGAAATGATCCATCAAGGATACACAGACTGCTTCAAGCCACGCAAAGAAAACACCTACTGTTTTGTGACTTGCCAAATTTGATCCTTTTTTTAAGGTAGCCACTCATTGATTTGAACATAAACACACAGCAGTTTGCTGAAATAAGTATATTCTAAGTACATATTTTGTAGGTTGATTTCTGGCCTGCTTGAAGCACTCCGTTCCAAGAAGATAAGAAAAATAACAGGGTTCTGGGAAATAGAAAATGTGAATTAAGTGATATCAGCTCATATAAAGATCAGCTTAAACTAATCTGTGGCTGGAACTATTAAAAGAGTTGTTAATATTAAAGGAACATCATTTTTATCCCGATACTCATATTTTTTGATGTCTAAAATATTTGGCTTTTATGGGTTTGCTTTTAAATAAAGCATAGTTTAAAATACATTATAAATTTGTAATGGCATATTAACATACATTAATGGACACCGAAAGGCAAAACCTCAGTCCTGACTGAGTCCCGACTCTGCTACCGGCATCCCATGGGGTTAAAACAGACCAGAGAAAACCAGTCCATGCTGAACACTCTCAATTCAAACAGGGGCTCCCAGCCTGCAGTGGGCCTTCATGCTGCTCAGTAATTATAGACCCCGTCATCTCCCAGATGATGATTTCATTCCTTCTCCTCAATCCTCAAACCTCTAATAGCACCTGCCTCAAGTTCACTCTCAGCTGGTGACCTTGACTTTGCTGCCTCTTTCACTGAGAACATAGCAGTTGGGAAGAACTCTACAAGCTGGTGCCTCCACACCTACCCATATAGCAGCCTCATGCCCCTGCACCCAGCCTTTTCCCGTGTGTGCTCCTAGCCAAGGCCAACTCCTCTACTTGGGCACTAGATCCTAACTGTTCACCAGCATTGCTCCTGCATCACCTGGTTTTCCCTATTTACTGACGTACTCCTATAAGCATACAAATATACTATTTTTCTTCCCATCTTAAAAGAAGATAAAATTATCTTACCCTCCCTTCGCCCTTGTGGAGGAAGAAGAATTCAAGATTCTTCTGGGTGGTGTAAGAAATTAACATGAAACAGATTAACGGGGCAAAAAAAAAATTAATAAATATGCACAGAGGTCTCATAGATATGGGACCTAAGAAGTGACCAAGGCAGGCAGCTTTTATACTTTCTAGACAAAGGAATGTAACTTTATGAGGAATTGACAGGACAAAGAAAACTTATGTTTGGGACTGTCAATTAGCAAGGAATATAAAGAGAATTTAGGCTGGGGTGGTAAATTAGCAAAAGTAACAAGGTTTACTTATGTAGGCTTCTTCAGCCCTGAATTCCCTGTCTCTGATGATAAGGATGTGTCTCTTCCTCCCAGTGTCGGGAGGGTACCTTTCACATGGGAGATTTATGACCTGCTTTCTAGAGACCTAGGATGGTCAGACTGTTTTTGTTACACTGGCTGTTTCTTAAATAACGTTAATTCAAAATAATCATTATCCTATTGCAGCATATTTGGGGCCATCCTGCCCTGGGCTCCCACACTTTCCAGCGGACTTCTCATTCTCTACTTCCCTTTGTTTATAGTTAAACTCCTCCAGGGTGGTATTGTCTCTGATTCTCCTCTTCGTCTTTCTTAACCACTCTAAGCAGGCTTTGTCCCTACCGCTCAGTCACGGTCACCAATGTCCTGCACGGCCAATGGTCAAATATCCCACTTGACTTACCAACTATTTCTGACACAGACTATGTCTCTTGAGTCCTCCCTTGAAGCTCTCTTTCCCCTCGGCTTCCAGGCTCTGCTCTCCCACTCTCCTTGTTTTCTTCCTGCTTCCCTGATTCTTCCTCCTCAGTCTCCCGCATGAGTTCTTCTGCTAGCGTAGGTTTTAATTCTCAAACCTCTTTTCCTCCCTAGCTTCACCCTCTCCACTGGTGACAGCATCCAAGCCAAACGGATATCTCCAGCCTGGCCCTCTCCCCCTAACTCCAGACCCGTATATCCAAATCCCCATTCAACATTTCAATTTAGATGTGTATAAGGAATCTCAAATGTAACAAGCCCCAAGTCAAACTCTTGTCTTCCACCCCTTAAACCTGTTTCTCCGAAATTTTCTCCATCTGAGTAAATGGCAACTTCATCCTTCCTGTTGTTCAGGCCCAAAACTACAGAGCTAGGCTTACCTTCCCTCCTTTTTCTCATACCCTATCTTCTCTCCACAGGCAAATTCTATCACCTCTCCCTTCAAAATGGATCTGGAGGCCGACCACTTCTCATTCCCCAGCTATGTCACTCTGGTTCAAGCCTCAACCCTTGTGTTAGTCAAGAACCTCTGAAGTAGTCTCCTTGCTTCTCCTGCTCCAGTCTATAGTAAGATGGTGGGAATTTTCTGCCCAAATCCCTCACAATGGCTCCTAGAGTAAAAGCCCAAGTCCTTTCAATGGTCCACCACCGACTTCTCTTTCTTCTCTGACTCCATCTCCTGTGTCTGCCTCTCTTGTTCACTCCAAGCTAGTCACACTCACCTCTTTATTGTTCTCTCTGCTTGGAGCTTCCTTTCCCCAGATTTCTATATGGTGCTTCCATCACCTCCCTCTGGACTTTGCTCAAATGTCATCTTCTCTGGGAGACCTTCTCCAGACCACTGTTGGTCCCTTCTAAGTTCTCAGCCGGGTCTCTGTAGCAAAAGACAGATTGACAAGAGAAAAACATACAAATTAGTCTTCAAGAAGAGAGGCACTTGGGTGGTTCAGTCGGTTAAGCATCCGATTCTTGATTTCAGCTCAGGTCATGATCTCAGGGTTGTGAAGTCAAGGCCCACGTAGGGCTCCTCACTCAGCGGGGAGTTGCTTGAGATTCTCTCTCCCTCTCCCTGTCCCCCACCCCCCACTTGCTTGCTCTCTTTCTCTCTCAAATAAATAAATAAATCTTAAAAAAAAAAGTGAAATGAAGACACAAAGCAAGGTTAAGCCTGAGTGTTTTTCACTCTGGGTTTGATGAAGACTGGTAGGACAGAGGATACCAGCTAAGGGTGATAAACTGGGGGAACTTACCAAAGCCTGTTTGTTTAGATTCCTCTCTGAGTCCTAGTGGCTTTGGAGATAAGGATGCTACTTTCTTCCTGGTAAGGGGAGAGCACCTCTCTCAAGAGAGCCTTGTGACCTGCTTCAGGGGAGGCCCCAGAGTCATTCCAGCACCAGCCATTTCTCAAGTCCCTTTGTCTTAAAATATTCAGCATGCTGAGGTGCCATATTCTGGGGTAGTGGGTCTCAAACCCTGTCACTACCCCATTTAAAATTCCAACCCAGAGCCCCTGCATCCTCCTCATCCAACAATCATGTTCCTCTTCTACCTAACATATTATTTTACTTATTTAATTTTTTTGTAGTTGTCTGATTCCCCCAACCAAATGTCAACTCCATAGGGGCAAGGCTTTTTTTTTTTTTTTTAATGCCACAATTATTTATTGAATGAATGAAAGAACTAGTGGATGGGCCATGGTTAATGGTGTGGACATATTTTATTATACTCTGCTCTATACCTGGTGCTCTGGGTCTATGTCCTCATTTAACCCTTGCATCTATGTAGCGACTGTTATGGTCATTATTTTGCAGATGAGAAAATCAAGCCACAAGGAGTTCAGTGATTACCAACATCATGCAGCCATAAATGACAAAGTTCATTATCAAACCCAAGTCTGTGTGGCCCCAAAGCTACTTTATTCACAGCATCATAGCTCTGGCTTCAATTCACACCATCAATAGACATGCAGTCACCATATCTCAAATCCACATCAAGGTTTAAGTGGTCCCCAGACAGGGTACGAGGGCCTGGGTCAGTTCTAAGTGCCACACCGTAGGAATGAGCTTCCCCTAACTCATGTTACAGGCTGTTGTGAGCCATGAGTTTTCTGTACCATTTCAAACATCTGAATATTCGGAACAATCTGGATGATCCGTTTACCGAAGACTTTCTGCAGGTTAACGTCCGTTCCTAAGTGGTGTTCGTATTCTTCTTTCCAGACATCTGCCTTAAATAAAAAGGAAAGTTGACTCTTCATGAAGAAAGGAAGAGAGAACAAAATATTTTGGAGAGCTATAGATTATCTGTATAGAATATTTCTGATAGAATAGACAAGAAGCCCATGACCGCATCACTTTTGGCAGGACAAATGAAGGGTTAGGAAACAAGAAAGGGAAAGGGACTTCTCATTCATACCATCTGCACCTTTTGAAGTTCCCTGCCATATGGATTAAGTACCTTTCAAAACTAAGCAAAATAACAATGGAGGTGCACCCTGTCTAGCCTTCCACCAAGAGTGCCAGAGTCCAGCTCCAGCAGGGGAGGGGTCCTTGAAGGAAAGGACGGCGTCGGCGAGCGAGGAGACACGGACACAGGATCAGGTTGCAAGCATCTCCTCCTGATAGACTCGGAGGGACCTTATTTATTCATTAGAACATTTCCTTGTTTTTCCGTTTTCTCATAACATGTGAATTTGTTTTTACATTTTATTACAACCATTCCGGATTTAAAAACAAAGATGCTAAACAGAGTGTGACAGTGCGAGACAAAGTGTGACCTATCTGCCATTGTGTACTAAAGCGAAGAAGTTATATTTTTACTCTTGCTTAAAGGTTTACCTAAAGTTTACTCTTTCTCCAAAGGCAGTTTACAATGTGTGCATCCTATCTTATCAAAGTATTTATTCCATTTCTATATGTCTCTTGTCCTTGCTCCACAGACACCACGGAGGATTACTCCTCTTAATCTATAACCAGAGGCAGACAGATGATGCTTGCACACTTTTTTCCTTTATTCTTATACTATTTGTTCATGTCTTCATTAACAACTCCATTGTAAGGAATGAGGGGAGTAGGGGTAAGGAAGTTAATCCTACACCAGGGGCTTGCCTCGAGGGGCATACCAAAGGTGGCCTCCTATTGTGTATACAACATAGGGAGGTCCTTGTACTGCGGGAATGACATGAGATTTGCCTTTCCTAGAATTCTGATGTTTCAGAGGTGCCTGAGGAATCTTATCAATAGGAATTTCTACTGGGCCTGGATCCAACAGCTCCCTTACAGATGGGAGGACATTGGGTATTTTTACTTCTTGGCCCATTGTCAGCCTTTTTGGAATCAGTTTCATTATGATTGCTTGCATAGGCATAACTAAATTTACAAATCATTTTATCATGAAACCCCAGAAAAAATCCCATGATTATAAAGATTGCCGCAAATAAAATGAAAGGAAGTAGCAGGAGCCAGCTGTGGAGTCTCCCGATTTTTCAGGATTGTCCCTCATACTTGGACTTTGTCAAACAGCATGAGTAGCTTGGCTCGCAGCACAAGAGGGCAAGGGGACCCCAGTCCTAAGTGCCCTGAGCACTCCGTCAAGGTGACAGTCATTCAGGCTTGCTCCAGGCCTCAGTTCCACCATCTGCAATGGGAAGACAATGATTAGAGCTTGCCTGATTTTATAAGCGGGGTCTGTTGCAAGATTCTAAGTGTAAAATCGTCTATATGCATCAGTGTTCATTATCATTTAGGGGAAGTCTGGTGGGTAAGAAAGCAAGCCAGCTCACTGAGCCATGGAACACAAAATGGGACCAAAAGACAGCAATACTGTCTCCATATAGTGTAGTAAGTTCTTAGAAGAAAATCGGTAGAAAAATCTGCTGTTTGGTCTCAAACAATTTTATTTTAAATTCAAAGAGGATAAGCAAGATTATCATCTGCATCATTCCAGCTCCTCTGTTCTCTGATTTTGGAATTCTGCTAATTCTGGTCATGCTTCCCTAGACCTCACAAGGCCTTTCACCCTCACAATGCACAGATGAGCTGGAACCTGGAGAGAGTTGAAACTCACTTCTAGAATCAAATAATGGCCAATTTTCAGCTATGTAACACACTACTCTTAACTGTAAAGTGCCAAAGCTATCCGTTGGGTTCTAGATGCAGCCTTGCCTTAAGACATGCAACGAGTGTATGAAAAATCATGGAAAAAATGCAAAATAACTTATTTATAAATAGAGATAGAGATAAGAAAATAAAAACAATGTGTAAGGGGTGGAATTCATGAGCCACACGCTGAGTATTCAATGAAGTACCGTAAAACGACATTTCTCAAGAAAAGGCACTTGGGTTGCTTTATAGGCCAATTTACCTAAATAGCACAGTATTTAAAAAACGAACAAAAACTAAGTGCAGAGGGAGTGTATTTCTGGACTGTTGTGGGGTCTATTACTCTTGTTATTTTAGACCATTAAGTGGGATGAGGAACCCATTTTAGAGTTATTTTAGACCATTAAATGGGATGGGGAAATGCTCGGTCCTAAAGTATTTTGAACACCATAGAAGGTCCACAGTTTGGGGAAGAACATTTTTAGAGCTTCATTTCCTCATTTTTCCTTTTTTCTGATTCTTTTCCTCTTCTCTTTCATCTTGGTATTTGTAGGGAAGGGGGTATTCCTCGGCCTTCCAAACCCAGGAAAACAAAGCAGAGCGCTCATCTAACCCACCGGAAGACCCCCCCACCCCAAACGACGCCCTCCAGTTCCCTGCAGGTTTCCCGGGGTTTCCCGGGGAACAGCAGAGGAGGATCAACAGGTCTCATGGGTCTGCCACTTTCTGAGCTTACTGGGGCCTGTAGTCCTCTGTGGCCATGGACTGGGCTGCTCCTCTTCCCACAGGGCCGTGGGAAGGTCAAGGGAAAGGATTTGAAAGCCTAATGTAAACTAAAGCAGCACAGGATTATTACTATGAAAAATTAATTAGAAAAGGGAGCAATCTTCTCATTTTCTTATTTCTCTTTTCTCACTTCCCCTTCCTCTGCCCTCCCCGCCCATCTTTCTCTCCTTCCCCACTCTGCTTTCTCAGCAGGGAACACACACAAGGTAGTAAGAGCCCAGGGTCTGAATTGTTAAAACAGAACAAAGTTTAAGAGCCAATATAAGCTACACCCAATTACTGAGCAATGTGAAATGAAAACCAGCTTAGCCCCAGATTCCAGGAAAATGCTACATTTTTGGGTTTACTTGCCACTTTGTGTTTTCACGTGGGCCAGAGCCTTCAAGCTTTGGTCACCGGTCTTCCGCTTCCTAATGCAGAGAAGTAAATGCTGACTCATGTCATTTGCCTCAGATACCACCGGAAATGGCACCTTCTCCCCAGCCACTGGCTCATGAACCCAGCAGCACCCAGACGTGAACTTATCTGCCTAGCAGTCGGGGCTCTGGGCTCTCCAACCTGGCCCTCTGATTGACAGCCGACAAAGGAATCTGTCGAGGAAAGAGATCTAGAGTCAACCGAGAGGTACACTTTTTAATCACCAGTTACTTTGATGAGTAAGTACTTTCCAGTTTTCCCATTTTATTTTAAGCATTAACTTCACATTTCTGAGCAGCCTTTCTTAGGATCCTCCTTTCTTGGGCACTTACTATAGAGTGGAATCACCATGCTAACGCCTTCACCCTACCCCCACTTAACTGCATAGCCCCAACGAGACAACAGTTATTTTGTAATGAGAAGGATTTGTGATTGATAAACTACTCTATCTCTAAAAATGTACAGTAAAGAGAGACAGTTGTGAACAGGAGAAAGGATGTGAAGCATCTGTTGTCTGTGCAATCTTGTATGTTGTGGTTGACCACAAAGGCTTGGCATCAGCTCTGACTCCCAGCTCTGCTTTTTATAAAATAGATGACCTTGGGCGGATGACTCAATCTGCCAAACTTAATTTTTTGAATGTATAAAATGGAGAAAAAGAAAATACTGATGTCACAGGGTTCTTAAGAGGAACTAACAGGTAGCTAAAACATGTAACACACTGGTGACATGGATACTAAACATTACTGAATAACAAGGGAACTTAGCATTTCTAAATAATAAATGTAAGGCCTTCGTTCAACTGGAAAGTTCTCTTAACTAGTAAAACCCATCCCTCAAACATGCTGAGGTGAGTTCAGACATTCCTTTCTCCAGGTGAGTTCCTCTCTTCTCAGACCTTGCCCCCCTTCTGGTTCCAAGCCATAGGGTTTGGAACTGGCGAAATCCTCAGTCCTGCTGCCAACGCACAGAGCAGTGGGAACGCAGGTCTTCCAGATCCTTCTACAACATAGTACGGGCAGGGAAAGGGCAGACAGAGACTGACTCTTAGAATCCCATTTTTATATTCAAAACCCATTTTTCCCCAGAGAAACACTATTGCACTTAGCATTCAGATACTACACTGTTAATAAGAATAACAGCAATAATAAATGAATATCCATTTTAAGAGCTCTTTCGCATAATCTCTTTGGAGGAGCATCGGAAGCCATTTCTCCCATTTGAATGCTGAGGTAAGCATCTCCCACAGAGATGAAGTGAGCTCTGGAGGTGGTGAAACCCCAGCCTGCCGACTCAGCCTCATGTTCACATCACCCGTTCGGTTGGCTTTTGTGACCACTCCTGGAGACAGAATTTTCGGAATCCAACCTGTCCATCAGTTGAAAGCCACTTAGTCATTATCGGCTCCCCCTCACCCTTCCTTTTCAACCCTGGGAACTTTTTATTCAACCACCACTTAGAATCTGGAGTAGTCAGCAGAAGTCCAAAAAACATTGAGGCACAAGTAGTGCTTTAGCACAGACCTGACCTCCCCACTGACCCATTAGGAGGAATAGTTAACTACCAGTGATGCAAGCCCAACTAAGTGAACTTCATCCCCACTCCGTTTCCTAGGGGAAAAAACTTAAAGCTGTGTACAAAACATGGCTTTGTTTTGTTTTTCAACAGAGAATGAAAAGGAAAACGATATGCAAATATTTTTTTTTCTAGATAAGACTATTTTTTCCTCTCCATCTCAACTAATATTTATAGCTGGGGTTAAAAGCTCAGGCTCTGGAGCCATATTTCCTCCTAAAGAAACAAAACAATATCTTAAGCTGGTCTCAGCCATCCGAAGATTCATTGGCAGTGACAGGCCGGTTCTGCCATTTGCTAGCTGGACAGCCTTGGGTGATGTACATCACCTCTCAAGTCTCAGCGTCCTTATCCATACCGCGGCGAATACAAGAGTTTCTACCTCACCAGGCCGTGCGCAGAGAGAAGGCCTGGCACATAGTGACTGCTCAGTGAATGCTAACCATTATGCAGAGGCACTAGGCCTTCTGCAAGGGGTGGAAGAAGGGGTGAGACCCACTTCTGCCATCCAGGACTAGGGTATACTGGGGTGGAACGGCGCATGGGCGCTTAATCATAGTACAAAATAGAACCAAGTGCTCACTCAGGGCAGCCATCAGAAGAAGCAGATTTTTCTGTCTGGGGGAGAAAAGGGCGACCTTCAGACAGACCTGCGTTTGAAACTGGATCTTAAGGCAGAAAAAGAATTTCCGTGGGTTAGGGAACCTTGATCCTGAACCACAGAGCAAACATAAAGAGGTGAGAAAAGCTCTCTGGGGACACATGGGCTCCAAAATTCATTCACGGGTGTTTGGGAGCTGAACAGGAGGAAGGGTCATCTCCTAGGGTAAAAAAACAAGTTTCTAAATACAAAATGTTGGGAGTTATGCTAGCATATGAAATGAAAGTGAAGACACGAAAGTCAAAACCCTGTATGATCACGTTTTAGGTGAGAAAACACAAAATAACAACCAGACCCTTTTAGAAGTCTTTCTTTTCTTTCTTTCTTTTTTTTTTTTTAGAAGTCTTTCAAAGTGAAGTCACACTTCCTTAAGATTTAAGAGTAATTTATGGAAAGTAAAAAAGTTCATCATAAAATCTAATAAAACAGAGGTAAAATTGGTCACTGTGCTCAGCTTCCCAAAATATATTGCAACATCCTCCTCCCTAAAGCGTAGCCTCAAGAATTACATCTTATTTTTTAATGCCAAGAAATAGTTGAACTGTTCTCCATCCAGGCTATCATTCAAGGATTTTGAGGGAGGTTTTTAGGAATAATGGAAGCAGCCAGGGTCACGAACCATAAAAAAATGCCTTGATCCCAGCATTTCAGAAGCAGAGGTTATTTCCACCTGGTTATCCCCAACCCATGTTGCACCATAAATTACATAGCAGCTCTCAGAAAACGCACAGCAAGAATATGCGGCCGTCCCCACAGATGATCGATTTTTACCTTTAGGAAGATTGTCCAAAGGTCACAAGAGAATTATCTTAGGAATTCAGCCACAGTTTGATAGGATAAATGGGCGTCTAGAGAATTTGAAAGTGATAAGAGGCCCACACAGACGGTTTACTCCTTGCCCCCTCCCCCTTTTCATCCCCTGGGAACTTTATTCTACTCACCTGAATACGCCTGGAGCTCAGGAGACAAGTTTGGGCGGGCTACATTTATTGAGCACTTAAAAATGTGGCAGACCTCACGCCAATGACTTTGTTCACGTAACCCTCACTTCCTAAGAAATTCATAGTACTATTCTAGTTTTGTTGATGAGGGTTCTGAAGTGCAAAAAAAAATTTACTTAAGCTGCCCGGGGTCGCAGAGGCAAGTCAGCGGCGGAACCGGATATAAACCCAGGGGGCTGACTCCAGGCCCCCCTCTGAGCCACTGGGCTTTACCACAATACAGGAGTCATCTGCATACAAATGGTGATTGATAAGAAGCCCCGAATAATTTGTTTCCATCCAAAGTGGGACTTTTTTTGGTGTGTGGGTGTGTGTGGGGGGGGGGTGCCCTTAATAGTTGCGCTGGAAAAACTGGGGGTAAGCCAGAACCGTGTGGGGCAAACTGAGAAGTATGATCAGCGTATTGACTGATGCCGTGAGCGTGGATGGATTTACCCCGGGAAAGAAGGTTGAAGAAAAGAAGAAAGGGGCCGATTAGTGGGTCCTGAGAGAGACCAACAGTTGGGGAATTGCCCGAGAAAGAGCAACTCAGACAGGATCGTGGGGGAGGTGAGCCGGGAGACAAGGGTGTCAGGCTCGGGCAGTTTTCCGAAGGGAGTCACCGGGGCGCCCCGGCCCCAAGGAGCTGGGAATGCGGCTGGGGTGATAAGGACCACGACCACGAGGTGGCCATTGACAGGGGCGGCCGGGAAGTCACTGGTGATTTCCTGACCAGTATTTCTCCCGTTTGGTGGAGTTGGAAGCCGCATTAAAGTAAAAGGAGTGAGTGGGAGGTGAGGACCCAGCCACAGGGCAGCGCAAACAACTCCTGTTGAAAGTGGCCTTGAAGGGGAAGCCAAAGATAGGACTGTCCTGGAGGTGGAGTCAAAGAAGTTTCCTTTCTTTTTTAAAGCAAGAAACTAGAATGTGTTTAGTGCTTAAAGGAAGGAACCAGCCAAAGGAGAGTGAAGAAAAAGTAGAATGCCTAATTATCCCCTCTCCCGGGGACATTCTGGAGCAAAGTTCCTGAGGAGGTGGAAGGGCGAGCCACCTGAGCTGAGGAGTTACCTTTACAGCCGAGGAGGTACGGCTCTGCCCCTGCGGGAGGGAGGAGAAGGGGACTGTGGACTGGAAGTTTCCATGGAGGGAACGGGAGCGAGGTGCCGTCTGCAGGCTTGGGTTTTCTCTGGAGTCCCAGCGGGGATGGGTGGTCGTGCCCGAGACTTAAAGGTGCCTCATGCACGGCCCGCCGCGTACTAGGCCCTTGAAAGACATTGACGTGATCTCTTTCATTCATCTTCACTGCTGTTCAGCGAGGTAGGTGATCTTACCCCGTTTGGCACCAGAGGGAAACGGTGGCTCAGCACAGTGGGCAGTCAGCCCAAGAGCGCACAGCTGTTTGGGGTCAGAGTCCACGTCTGATTTCATTGGCTCCTGGAAAGGAAAGCCAGCTCACTGCCTTTCTGTTATCTGGCAGAGTCTTCGGGGAGTAATAGGTAGGGAGTTAGCGGATGTAGTTTAAATAATGATTTGAGACCAGAATGTGGAAGTTCGTCAAAGACTGTACATGATTGAAATCCTGTTTTTGTTTATATGAATTGCTTTAATTTTTTTGTTGTTGTTGTTTACTTTTAGGAGATCCTTTTGTAAAACAAGAGTTGTTTTTTTTTTTAAGGGGCTATTTGAATAAAGGTTCCATAGTTTATCTTTCGTTTTTAGAGAAGTTACCTGCTATCAGGTATTATGAAGCCCCACTTCATTCGTAAAGGATGTCACCTGCGTTTCTTTCTAAAGTCCATAGGAACATTTCCTATTAGCCTATTGTTATGGGAAAAATACGCTCCCTTATGGATTTTTAAACTTGGTAATTTTCAGACTCTTCAAGTGTGTGAAATCCCTCCGTGGATATTTTATTGCGAAAGAATCACAGATTTAAGATGGTGGCCCCGTAGGGATGGTGATGATACAAGTTGATTAGTTCTGCAGGGATTCCTGCCTCCACGAGGAAAACTTGTGGTTAACATGGAACCCACTTTGAAACCCACTAGTTTCAGTTTTCCATTTACATCACGTGTGTTTGAGATGTTAGATGTGGTGAGGACTCACTGAATAGCCAAGTTAGAAATATGGGCCATATGGTAGGGTTAGGTGATACAGGGTTGGAGTAGAGGAACCCTGACAGCAGTTGGTGGGTGTGTGAGTCAAATTTGCAGAATGACAACTCTCAGAGCCCCAGGTAGACACAGGTGTTCTCTAAATTTTTGCTGAATTAATTAATGGGCTGCAGAGCTGAGGCCTCTTTTAGAGGTGAGGTTATTTGGAGTGGGGGGGATTAGACTCAGACTTTCTCCTGGCTGATAGTTGCAAATAATTTGCATTATTTACCATAGCACCTCACAGTACTTGTATGTGTTTTTTAAAATTTACTCCTGAAACCACTTTTTAAAATAGTAGACCTGCATTCTTTCCCCCTTTTTTGTGTTCTGTAGAAGAGTGTGTTAACTGACTTGGCTCAGAGCAAAAGATTAATCTCTTGAGAACCAGCAAACCTCAGGCCATTCGTCAAGCTTTCCCAAAGAGAAGTTTGAATTGTTTTTCTTCTTTGAAAACTTTATATGGCCTGCAGTTTAATTTTTGACAAGTTTAAAGCCCACTTAGAAAACTAAGCAAATGCCAAGACCTTGAGGTGAATCCCTGAAAAATAATTGTATTTGTACAAGATGGTACAAATATCTAGTCCATTAAATGTAAGGGGATCTTGGAAAGTTCAAAACATTAATTTGATTACCAAAATGCAGTTAGAAGGAAATGAACTATTTATATTCCCGGGATAATGTTGCATTAAGATGGTTAGTCTTATGCAAGAAACTTTTAAACTAGTTACAAGTACTTCCTACAACTAATCAAAACAACATCCTGATCATTAGTGACCGCCTCTGGTTTAAGACTTTACTGCAGGGTCTCTAGAGCAGCTGATCTATTTCTGTGTCTGTCTTCCTGTCACTAAAGATCAGTAAGAAAAGAAAAAACAAATTAACCTAATTTCTACAACACATTGATTAGTGAAAAGCAAATGTTACATGTTTGGTTTGTGATAGTTATACAGCAATTGTCAATGATTTATAAGTCATGGCTTATGGAGCTATTAATAAATTAATTACCCCCAAACAAAGAAATCTAAGCAAAATTCTTGAAAGTCATTTATTATAGTAGTAGCCATTAGTAATGCATGTTTCTGTCAGAGCTTTAGTCAAAGTCCAAATAGAAAGCATGGAACTAACTTAAAATTATGATTTCAGGAATCATCTTGAAACTTTTTTTTTTTTTTAAAGGTGTTAATTTGAGGTTGGAATCACAGATTGCAAGGATCACTGGTATACTTCCTCCCTCCCTCTTGACTCCTCCAGCTGGCTTTGGTGCTTCATTTGCATACATCCTTCATAGCTGCTAGCACCTTCTTTAGTGTTTGCCTCTTACTGTCCATTTCCTTGCTGCAGCTCTTGAGAGAAGAGACTGCCTTTTTATATGTAGTCCTTCCACCTAGTACAGTATCGGGTTCGCAATGATCTTTCCTGAATGAGTGGATGAGTTACTCTTATCTATAAAATAGCTACCAAAACAAATAGGTGAGTTGAGCAAATTTGAAGCAAAAAAAGAAGACTAGGTTCAAAAGACCAGTAATCTGTTTTCAAATCCCCCTTTTGTTTCATTTTTTGGAAATCAAAAGAGCTTTGAAAATGGAACTTACCAACGTTTCTTTTAGATTTAGCTCTCAATTATTCTTCATTTACCATCCGCCCCGCCCCCTCCCCCAAAAAAGTCACTTTGTTTTTAAGTGCTTGGTATCTTAGCTTAAAGAATTCTTTCCCAGAGTGATAGTCCTGCGGGGAGTGGGGGGGGTTCTGATTTGTTGATCCTGTTACAGTCATGGTGCACTTTATCAAGAATTTCATGAATTTCCTTTCAGTTTAACTTCTAACTAGAGTGTTCTTTCCAGTCATTTCCTCCTCCCTTCTTTTCCACAGTCTGATCTGCTCTCCTGTTCCACCTCAGAAGAACAGTGAGAAATTTTTACCCAGTTTTGACTCTGAGCTCTTGGAGCAGCATCTGGGTGGGTTAAGTTCACTGGTGGGGGGATATAGGGCAGCCAGGATTCCTCAAACACTGGGAGTCTGCAGAATTGTATTTTGGTTATTCTAAAATCCAGGTCACTTATTTTTTGCGTGTCTCTTGGTAGAGATGAAGGTATGGGATGAAATATGTATACTGTCACTCACAGGCCCCCGCTCCCCGCCCCCAGTACACATAAACCACCTCTCCTGGGCAGGCAGAGGAAATGGTTGCCTGCCTGCCACACACCAAAGCACTCTTCTATCTTGTCTTCAAATATCTCCCAGACAGGAGCCAAGCTTTTCAATTCAGACCAGCCTGCAGGGCATTCTGCTATAAAGGATGTCTCTACTGTAAAGGATGTCTCCCTACAGAGACAGACTTTGGTGTCGGTGGTTTTAAATTTTAGCTCCATCACATCGATATCCTTCTCTATAAAATGGAAATAATAAAGATTGTCTCATAAATAGGATTACCTTTGTAAAGCAACTGGCATCCAGTAGCCATTCAACAAACATTAGTTTTGCTTTATTCAAAATCTTTCACTCGGATCATCTCATGTGATCATCACAGAACCCTGCTAGACAAGTGGGGCGCAAACATTGTAAATCCTCCTCCCCCTTTTATAGATGATTAACCTGGTGTTTTGAAACTTGCTCAGTAATTATGATAACTAAGCCTTATCCATGCTTATTACTTGCCAGGCATTGTTCTAACCATTTTACATTTAGTCCTCACGTGAAATCTGTGAAGTGGGCACTCAAAGTCCCATTTTACAGATGAGGAAAATTGAGGCAGAGAAAGGCTAAGTAAGTGGCAAGTAGAGCTGGCAAATAGAATAGTTGGGATTCACACCCAAGTAGTATTGCTCCAAAAGCAGTGCTCTTCACGGGTATACTTCAGTGCCTCTATTTCCCACAGCTTTTAAGTAGTGGATTGGACTCCCACCTGTGAGTCCCAGTCTAGAGCACTTCACACCCAGAGAAGGAACGCACTGGGCCCAGCAAAGAAAGTACCCTGCCTGGAGAGCCACCAGGTTATTGGATCTGCCCACCCACCGCAGGGAGAGAACTCTAATGGAAGGGGATGGTGTTCAATATCATATAGGGGACGAGACCCACGATGGGAGCAGAGTGCCAGCCCAGAGAGCATCATGAGAAACTCTGGGAGGAGGTTTCCCCCTTCACTTTGTATTTTGGAGCCTGGGGTCTAGGGCAGGGGGTTACTGTTTGTTCACAAAGACCCTGAAAGTCTGCAGCACCTGTTCCTTCTATGTTCATGGCACTTAGCACTCTATCTGCTCCTGAAGGGCACGACCAGGTTTTACTTATTTTTATATCCCCTCGGGGGGCCACTGAGTAGACACTTAACAAGTGTGAGAAATGATTGCAAACAAAGGAACGTGCCTGAGCTCCAAAGGGATTTGGAGTTTGCTTAAGGTTTTATTTTGTTGTACCACGATGAGCTCTATCTTTTTTTCTCATAACAAAATCATGTAAATGAAGATTCTTTGGGGAAAAATAAGTCACTATTTTCAAGTGTTCTCTTAGGGCAACTCTTACAGACTACCCATTTTCGTGTTTTTATTTTTGTACTTGTACGTGTTTAAAAACCACAAATAGCATAGCTTTTAAAAACTGTGTAATTTAATAATAGCTATCCACCCACCCCTATTAAAATGCTTACTGATGCATAAAAGCCTACGAATATCAAGCCACAATGGATTCTATTGGCTTCTAAGTGTATGAAGTGGATGCCATGTTCCTCCCCATCTGAGATCTGTTGGTGATACTGAAGTGTGTTGTTACCTTTTGTTCATTAATGGATATGGTTGTAAATGACAGCTTTAAAATAAACTGAAGTTTTGAAGATGAGTTTCACAACTCTTGACGTTTTATGCAATGTGCTCAGGAGGAAAAATTTTGCCTCTACCCTGTTAGGTTCAGTGTCTGGGGCCCTGTGAATTAAACAAAGACAAGTTAAAAGGAGAAATAGCACACAATTTTTATTAATATTTATGTGCACAGGAGTTCACAGAATAGAAACTCAAAAAAGCAGATTCAGGGGCTTATATATCATCTTAATAAAGGAAAAGGGCTTTGGGTTTCATGGGATGATGAAATGTGGGGACAACTCGGAAATATATGAGGGTGCTAATGGAAAATCGGGGCTCTTTTAGTAAAGTTGGTTTATGCAAACTCATCTTGGTGTTGACAGCTCCCTGTCTTCTTCCTTGACTCTTCTCTTCCTGGTGGGCGAAGGAGCCCCTGCCTCAAAGGGAAATTTATACACTGCTTTTAGGCCGGGAACTCTTCCTGTGTCTATTGATTCTTGGTTGCCTTCAGCTCAAAATGATCCTTATGCCAAAATGGCATATTTGGGGATGGCATATTCTGATCGTCTTCCTATGGAAAGCAAAGAATATTACAGCTATAACATGTGAATTATTTCCAGTGTTACTGCCCTTTTTTACAAGTCCTGTTCATGACCCGAGTTGAAGGCAGATGCTTAACTGACTGAGCCACCCAGGCACCCCATACTTTTCCTTTCTGTTGTTTGTTACATTTCACTGATTCTTTTTAAGTTATTAAAAGAAACATACAATTATATAAAGCATATTTACAAAAAAGGAGGGAAGGCAAGCCATCCATAATCCCACATTTCTCTTAAAAGCTATGTTTTTGCATATTTTCTTTCCGTGTTATCTTATTTCCTATAGTTTCAGCGACATAGGGCTCACATGTGACATGTAACTTCTTCAATTTAACATATCACAGCATTCTGGGCGTTCTTGCTCACTCACAGTCCTCATTGTTAAGCAGCTGCAAAGTCTGCCTCCCCGTTCTCCAGGGGTCAGACACCTGAGCTGCCTTCCCAGGGCCAGTTTCTCCCCCAGCCAGGGGAGGGCCTGTGGAGTTGGCTGCTTCTGACCTGGGTGGAACTTGGGCCTCCCAAGAGCCACGGGGCAGGGGTTCACAGGTCAAGGTGAGGCCCGGCCAAGCAGGGCTTATGGCTCCGACTCCCTTCTTGCTCTCTTCCCACTCCCGGGCTTAAGGGCGTGGACTTCCCAGGCCAACCCTCCGTCCCCTTCCCCGAGGCTTGCCCACACCGCGAGCCTTCCGGGGAGGGGAGGGTGGGGGGTCGCTCCCAGCCACTCTCTCCTTCCGTCCTAGCAGTCTGAAGACCTGCCGCGTGTAAAGGAAAAAACTAGGCCGCGCACCCTGGGCGTCATGATCCACCTGCAGGCCTCCGAAGTGCAGCAGCTGCTCCACAACAAGTTCGTGGTCATCCTGGGAGACTCCGTCCAGAGGGCCGTGTACAAGGACCTGGTGCTCCTGCTGCAGAAGGACTGCCTGCTCACTACCAACCAGCTCAAGGCCAAGGGGGAGGAGACCTTCGAAAAGGACAAGCTGGTGGATGGAGGCCAGATGGGCCCCATGCACAATGGCGTCCAGTACCGGGAGGTCCGCCAGTTCTGCGACGACCACCACCTGGTGCGCTTCTACTTCCTCACACGCGTGTACTCCCCCTACCTGGAGGCCATCCTGCAAGAGCTGCAGTCCAGCGAGCACGGCCTCCCGGATGTGATCATCATGAACTCCTGCCTCTGGGACCTCTCCAGGTACGGCCCGGACTCCTGGCAGAGCTACCTGAAGAACCTGGAGAGCCTGTTCGGGCTCCTGGGCCAGGTGCTGCCCGAGTCGTGCCTCCTGGTGTGGAACACAGCCATGCCCGTGGGCAAGCAGATCACAGCGGGCTTCCTGCAGCACAAGCAGCAGCCCGGGGATGACTCCTTAAGAGGCCAAGTCATCGAAGCCAACTTCCACAGCTCTACCGAGGCGAAGAAACACGGCTTCGACGTGCTGGACTTGCACTTCCACTTCCGCCACGCGGAGCAGCACCTGCAGCGCGACGGCGTGCACTGGGACGAGCGCGCGCACCGCCACCTCTCGCAGCTGCTGCTGGCGCACGTGGCCGACGCCTGGGGCGTGGAGCTGCCTCGGCGCGACCGCGTGGCCCGGTGGATCCGGGGAGGACCCGGCGCGGCAGGTGAGAGGCCGGGGCAGGCCAGCCGAGATCCGCGGGCCTTGCCGCCTCCCAGGGGCAGCCCCCTCCTCCCGAGTCCCCCTCTGCCCCCGCCTCCCCGCCTGCCCTTGCCCCCACATCCTCCTCCCTATCCCTTTCAGCAGGCGATGCCGCGGGTCCTGTGCTATCCCCAACATACGTATTTTTCCTCAGACCAGCCTTTCCAGTCGGATCAGTTCTCTTCCAACTACTTCCATTCAGATGTCCCCTCCCCTACCCAGACAGGATTTGCCTTTGAAGATGACTTTATGATTGACCCTCAGCCCCCCGTGCTCCCTTTCCCGGTGCCCTATCTGCGAGCCCCTGTGGTCCATAGGGGTTTCCCCCGGTACTCGCCTCGCGGCCCCTATGGGCCCTGGGGCCGGCAGCCGAGATCTCCCAGGAGACCGGCCCATTCCCGCCCACAGCCAAGGCCTCAATAGACCCTCCTCCTGTTCGTGGACGGGACAGATCCTCTGACTATCCCGAAACCGACTGACCTTGTTAACTTAAGCCTTTGGTCCGTGCTTGGACTTCTTTTCGTTCACTACTGTCACCGATAATGGCAGGGAAGGGCAATCCCCTCCATTTTTGTCGGCTCTGGCCTCTTTCCCTATTCTCTGGGGGTGACCAAGCATTTTTCCCGCCTCCCCACCCCCTATCCTGTCTGTCTTTTTTGTAAACAGAAAATGGAAATAAAGAAGTTGTTTCAGGAAAGTAGTTGTGGGGTTTGGGTGTGTCTATATTTAATGGTGCCTCTCCCTTCCATTAAGAAGACAAAGAAAGGATAGTATCTGCTGTTTATGGAATCTACTTGATAAACTACTCGAAGTGGAATTTGTCTAACATCGTTCTGAAGTCCTCCATAAGATGGACCTGAGTCCTTACCAGTAAACAGAAGAGCTTTAACTTTTTTGCGATCATATTTTCCAGAGATTCTCAGAGTCATCGAATTTTAAGACTGGGAAAGCTAAATAAATAATATTTAATTAACACAAACAAGGAAACAAGTTAAGAGAGGTGAGTGACTTGTCCTAGGTCGCACAAAAATCCCTCTTCCACTAGTCTTTCCTAGTTTTACTAGTTTCTGACTGACATGAACTTTCAAACCATGGGGACCGATTGATACCACAGCAATGTCACATCAAGGACAGTTTACCAAACATGGTCTTTCTAAGAAAATGATGGTGAAAACAGCCATAGCTCCATAACTCCAGAAGCTCACTGGTTAGATGTGCAATGTATGTAAAGTAACGTGCATGGCATGCTCGTGATTTTGTGATTTCTTGGAATAGTCTTGAGTTTTGGACTTGAGAAAATTAGAATAAAGTAGGTTGCACTCAGTGATGGTGTCTATCACCATTACAGAATGAAACTACTGGTCAGAAGGGACCACCCAGGGCACAGCTCTGACAGACAGCCATGGCCATCTCTTTGCTGTTTTATGGAAATGTTAACATCAGGAAGACTTTCTATGCTAGGGTCTTTATCACCCTAGACTTGTGAAATGTTAACACTTGTATAAAATCGTCAAAACAGGACATGACTAACGTCTGAATGATAGATTATTTCGTTAGATTGATTTAACTGGTTTGTAAGTGCTCGGTTGGACCATTCCTGAAGTTGACAGTAAGTGTCAGGAAATGTTTTCCTGTAAAAAATGAAATTCATGAAATCACAAAAAAATAGATGAGCTCAGCTCTCTATAGGGGAAATACACAGCAGCTTTTAATATAAAAAACCATAAAATTTGTGAAGAATAAGACCATCTTAACCGTGTCTCATATCCTACTGCAATGGATAGCATTTAGTACTGAATAATGTTTCTTGAATGAATCTGTGAGTGGATGAAGAGGTTGTGTACAAGGGTTCTTGGTGACACTGTGACCCAAGTCTCTGAGGAGATACTATATATACATGGACGTTGAATCATTGTAGCATATCTGAAGGAATATTGCTGAAACAGCTGGATGACAACCATCAAGGACTCAAGAAAGGTGGTACCTGCAAGGCAGAATTTGCCAGAATGTCCCAGCAAAGTCAGGAGAGAGAGCACCTGTCTAACTAATGTCAATGTTCTAATCCCAGGTAGGAGGTGAATGCACCAGGCTGTGAGATTTGGTAACATCAGCCCTCAAGATAAACCCCTTGCCTCTTTCTGACTTTACGTTCCCCAAGCAAGACAGAGCAGTGCTTAGGGGCTGATCTGAGTAAGTGGACTCTAGTATTTATATTTTCATGAATCAACCAATAAATCAGTGGTGTGATTTATGAGTTAGGCTAGTGTGTATTATTCCTCTTTAATCTGATCACACCAGGTGAGGCAAAGAAAATGAGTTCTTAGAGATACAGTACTGAGGACCAGACACTGAATGAGGAATCCACTATCTTATATTAGGGATTAAATTGCACCAATCACTTAATGTAATGGTCCTGTTTCTTTCAGATGGGGAGGGATGCAGGTAGACTCAGACAGGGACAGTCTTTTCTTGCGCAGGTGTATTAATGTCCTAGGGCTACTGTAACGATTACCACAAACTTGGTGACTTAACACATTCTCTTAGCAGTTCTGGAGCTCAAAAGTCCAAAATCCACTACCCCCGAGCAAAATCTGCATGGGGTCTCCTGCTGTCCTACGTGATCAGGCTTCTGCCTGCCCCTGCAATGTCATCTCCTGGAACTTTCTTCATTGATCTCTATGCTTTCGGCCACACTGGGCTTCTTTCTCTTCATACACAACCTGCCAACCCCTTTCATAACTTGGGTCTTTGTGTTCGCTATTCCTTTTGCCTAGAATTTTCCACATCCCTACTCCCTGTTTCTTTGGATATCTAACTTTTCTCCTTCCATCCCCACTTCTCAAGTGCCCCCCTGAAAGGCCTTTTAGGATCATTTCAGCTACAAGTACTGTTACGATCTATCACAGCACGCATTCTTTCCTTGTATTGCTTATCCCCCTCGTTCGTGGCTCCAGTAGTTGCCTTTTAGCCCCTCCCACTAGGAAGTAAGCTCCGTAAGTGTTGTTCATTGTTGAATTCCCAATGTCTCAGCACAGTGCTTGGCAAGGAAGGTGTCCAAGTATATTTACTTCAGATAAATGTTCAAGAACATAATTCACGTTGTGTACTCACAAAAACATAATTTATATTAAAATTGAGCTATATTCGATCACTTTTCTTTAGAAAATGTCTCTAGACTTCTCTCATAACTTGATCTAAGTCATTCAGGGTGGCTAACCGCCCCCCCCCGGCCCCGAGCCTCTTCACCCCCATAGGATTAGCCTGATAGCACCTTCAGTGCTAATTTCATACATATCCTGGCCTTTATCATCCAGCCCTGAGCTTTCTTTGCCCATTTTTACTATTGCTACCTTGCCCCTTTAAGTCAGGAAACCTAGCAATGCAATCAAGCTCTTGTCTGGTAAAAAGAGCCTAAATTATTCAACAGCTATGAGAGAAATGATTGCTTTATTGTTAAGACTTACAACACAGGGTTCATTCCACCTCTTCTCCAGCCTCAAGAAATGATAGCGCTCAAAGCTTTTTTCACTTGACTCTTCTGGAAAAAGAAAATTAAAAAGGGGTAAAATTAATGATTAAATTAACATTATCCAAGCAGCATATGATTCTCACCTTATTCTAGAATAAGGTATACTGTTATGTCAGAGGCCAAAACTTCAAAAGCTGTACCCTATTTTTCCCTAAGCACAAACAAAGTAAGGCCCAGCATTTGAAAACAGAATCATCCATCTGGCCATAAGATGGGGATCAGCCACCCCACCACCACCCCGGTCAGCTGCAGAGCTCTTGTTCACAGGGCCCCTGCATTGCATAACGCCTGGACCCAATGTTCATGTTATTTCCTTGAGTTGGTCACAGCGGTGGTTCCATCTCTGACAGCTTTTCATTCATGAATTCTGCAACAGTAAGTTATTTTGAAAATTTTGGTCTTTAAGGCTCATATTGAAAGGATTTGCCATTATTTTAAACAATTTTACGCTTGTTTTTATTTTTGTTAATTTTTTATTGTTATGTTAATCACCATACATTACATCATTAGTTTTGGATGTAGTGATCCATGATTCATTGTTTGTGCATGACACCCAGTGCTCCACGCAGAACGTGCCCTCTTTAAAACCCATCCCCCCACCCCCTCCCCTCTAGAACCCTCAGTTTGTTTTCCAGAGTCCATCGTCTCCCCCTCCGATTTCCCCGCCTTCATTCTTCTCCTCCTGCCATCTTCTTTTTTTTTTTTCTTAACATATATTGCATTATTTGTTTCAGAGGTGCAGATCTGTGATTCAACAGTCTTGCACAATTCACAGCACTCGCCACAGCACATACCCTCCTCAATGTCTATCACCCAGCCACCCCATCCCTCCCACCCCCCCCC